TCATGACAGTCTTATTCAACCCCCTTCAAATAAAGTGTTACCAAAGCTTTTGACCTGTATGCATAGTTGGTCTGTCTGGTGTGTCCTTTGGCCTTCATAATGTAATTTGTTCATTAATGTTTTTCATTAAACCTCCAAACACAGATGTATTTAGCTCATCTTTAACATACATAGATGAAGAAGGTTATTGTTGCAACCAGACAAAATGTGAAAAGTTCAGAGGGTGTCAACTATTTTGCAAGGTTCTGCACTTTCAGGGTTCATTCCTGTATTTGACTTCAGCATTGCAAGCTTATGTCTTGCGAATCATGATTGCCAAAGTGTGTGTGCGCGGGTGTGTTTCTGTGAATGCACGAAGCCTATACATTATGCTGACCCATCTGACCACTTATGGGAGCCCTTTAAGCCTTCATCAGTTAAGTTGACAGCCACTGCCTGATGTCACGTTGGACTGCTTGAGCTCCTGCAGGGCTCCAGTTAAACTAACAAACCTGTGATTAACTGAACTGCTGCAAGTGATGGATAGCAATGGACCTTTAATCAGCACAGTGTCTCAAATCATTTTTCCCTCTCAGCCAGTGCCTATGATTTTCTCACCTCCTTCCCCTCTCATTGCCTGCATTCTGAAGGCAATCAGTCTCTCCTGCTTACATCTTCTAAGAAATACTTTTCTGGTTTATTCTGGTAAAACATATGCATATCTAACAAAATATCACCTACAAATGAGAACGTGGAGGTTGAAACTGAAAGCATAACATTTGGTGTTATTGTGGAAGGAAACAGGACTGGACAGTGACAGAATACATGCTAAAAACAGTCTTTTATGTCCACGTTTTTTTGGGGGGGTTTTTTTGTCCTTACCTACACTCCCTCTGAGACGCGTGAATTGCTCCTCCTCCTCTTCCTCTCCTCCGTCGATTATGTCTTCTGTACTGGTAAGATTTTCCTGGCTCAGGTCGGACATGGAGAACTCCAGGCTGTCTTCTCTCCACATGTCTGCCGACTTTGATCGCTTCTTTATAAAAGTTCCTCCATCTCTGGGACCTTCTGTCATTCTTTGGAGGTATCTTTCTTCCCCAGGAACATCTCCCTCCCCCATAGAGTCCTCTTCTCCATCCTGAGCAATAGTGTCTGCCTCTGAGGTCTCAGGAGTTGGCGTGGCCACGGGCTCGTCCTCATGTTGATAGGAGTCCGGCCTCATTGTCATTGAGATGCGTTGTGTCCAGTGAGGGTTGACGCCAAACTCTCCCAGCTCATCTGTGCCATTGAAAAGTTCCAGTCCACTCTCGGCTAAGGACTGTGGGATACTCGGTGTGCTGGAAGAGCGAGTGGAGGTCTCTGAGTTTCTGTACTCCTGCTTCGCAGTCGAAGAGAGCCTTTGCCGGCGAGTGACCGACTTCTTGTTGGTGAGGCGGAGCGAGCGGGATGTTTGTTTACGGGAAAGGTGTACCGCTTCATTGCCGTACACACTGCTGTCTCCGTTCTGACTCTCCACGTTTCCCATGATTTAACTGGACAGAAAGGAGAAAAACCACCGTAAGACAAAGCTTTAACTCCCTTCTGATTTAGCCTGAATAAAGCCTAGGAAAAAACCACATTTAAGTACAGCCCTTCCAGTTTTGTTTTGAAAAGAGAGGTAGGAGGCCAGCTCAGATGTTGTAGTTATATTGACTTGACTTGATTTGAGACTTTTGTCCAGTGAGGCTAAACACTGGAAAAACTTTCTGAAATGTATGTAGTGATCTTTTGATGGCCATAGGTCTCCAGTATTGTTTTGTGAAGGCACTTATAGCAGTTGGATTGGTTCTTTACTGACATGAGTCTCTCTGTAATAGCTAACTGATACTCTTCTGTATATGACTCTCAGATTTATGCACCTTTTAAAACATTTGCTTGGATGACTAGTTGTGTGATTACCTCTTTATCTTTGAGCAAAACAGAAACAATTGCTTGAAATAGATTGGAACAACATGCAGAGTCTCATTTAAACGTTCACAAATATTTCAGAATGCTGTTGTCAACAACAAGCAAAATGATAAAATTTCTGTTTTAGATTCTGATCACTAGAGGAGCTCTTTCCTTCCCGTCCATAGCCATCACTAGCCTCAACAACGTTTTGAAGAAATTCGTATGAGTTCCTACAATATTTCTTTTGGGATAAGCAAAGTGTTCTTGAATTCAAACTAAACTTTCAAAATATCTGTGTGCACATGGCAAGCAGTTAAATGTCAGGAACCAGTATCTAATCTTTAAACTAAACATTTTGTTTCTCACTCTCTCCAATCTCAATAAAAACATTGTTTTCTGCCAAAGGCTGACAACTTGGGATCAAGCCTTTCAGGCTGGGACAACAAAGCTGCTGAATAACCTATTGCCACAACTGCATGAGTTTGATTCCCTGTATTATTTAAAAAAAAAAAAAAAAAAAAAAAACAGTCACAGATCTTTCTATTTAGTCTGACATTTGCCTGAAGTTTATACTGCCAGTGGCAATGTTTTTATATCAATCATCTCATGGGTGTTTTTCTATTTTTTTTTTTATCTCTGCTTTGCTTTAAAGCCTCTCTTTATTTACCGTTTTAACCTCTGTGATTTTAATGGTGGACATATTTGGGCTTTAAAAATAAAATTAGACACATTCAAGAGTTTAAACATGATCTTCAAGAGCTCTATCTTTGTCGTGTCTATAAACGTGCAACTGTGATAATCTAAACTCCTTTACTGAGAAGAAAAGTCAAACATGAGATGTGCCTGTGCTTGCTCTATCTAATGTTTTTTTTTTATGCTTTAAACAAATTCATTGACATCACTACAGAACTAGCGTGCCAGATCCTTCTAATGTTCAAAAACCGAGCAAACAAAACTGAGGATAAGACCTTTGGCAGGGAAAATGTTGATTTCTTTTTTAATTTTACAATCATATTAATATAGTATGTCACATACTTTCTTAATTTCTTGTAAAGAGTATAAACGACAAACCCCTAATAGTTGTCCACTGCAAAAAAAAGTGAAGAGTTTATGGTGACTGTACATAAAAACAGCATTCAGCAAGGGCAAGTACAATTCTATGACCCGCTTAATAACTTAAATTTAAACACCATGAGCCGTTGTCGTGCTTTGCATACTTTAACTGTCATTCAAATAAGACTGGAGATCAAGTACGCCCAGAAGTGAGCTGGAAAGTCCCCTAGCTTTTTAAGCCATATGTTATCAGATACTGTCAGTTGATTTGGTTACTGCGGCACGTACGGGAAAACTGCACAGAAGAGTCCAACACTGACAGAGATCTAAAGAGAACGTCAACCGAAAATGTGCTGCTTTCACATGTTTTGTGGCAAGAATTTATTTAAACTGTTTTTTGTATGGGAAAATCTTGATGTTATTTTTATTTTAATTTATGCAATAGAAAAAAAAGTCTAACTTTAAAATTCCCAAATTTTAAAACAAGTGAACAAAGCAGGTTTTAGGGCATATTTTGTTGATTGTAGGAGAATATTTGTGCTTCTATACGCTTAAGGCTTAATGCTATTTAATGCTATTGAGGCTCAAGTAGTTGCTGTATCAGCTGCTGTCAGATCAGTTTGTACTCTGTGAATCACACATTGTCAAACCCACGCCATTAGTCTCTTAGCTGTGAAGAGAGAGAGAGGCAACGAAGCAACAAAAGATGCATGTATTCACCTGTGTTTCAGGAACCGGATCACCATCTTCCCATCATTACTGGGATTTGATATTCCACCGATAACATGGTCTAAACAGGCTCAAATGCTGGAAACACTTTGCCCTAAAAGAAACAAGAACAGATAGAGGCATTTCAGCTTCAGACAAAAGATGGTAAGCAAAAAGGCCTTCCAATATTAAGAAATGAAGAATCTTCAAGATTCTTCTTGGAGATTCTTGTGAAAAACCAATTGTTGTTTTTTTCTTAAAAAAAAGAAGATTAAATATCTGCCTGAAGCACCATGTGAAACTGTCATACAGACCATCAGCTGAGGGCTGAGCTCTTGTGAAAAAGTTGTTCACCCCTTAGGAAAAGTTTCCTTGGACTGATGACAGAGAATTGGAAACTTTTTGCATGCTGTGCATCCTTTTACATCTGCTTAAAAACTAACACAGAATTAAAAATAACAGCATAACACCAGAAGTTCAAACACAAACCTAATGTAAAAATCTTGGGTTGCTGTTATATTTCAGGACCTGGAGGATTTCATGTATGTGGACATCAATTCATGACTTTAAATTCAACCGCAAAAGGGTTATTAAGTGGGCAGTGAATGAAAGCACATCAGTAAGTCCAACTCTAAATGGCTCAAAGGAAAAAAATCTAAATAAAGGATTTGGATTGATCGAGGCAAGTCCAGACATATATCAATATAATTTTAGTTAAACCAAATCCTCATTTGAGAAGTGCAGTTTGTATTTTCTCATGTTTTTGTTTGAGATTAATGTGTTTAATGATCTAAACGATGTCATTAGAAAGAAGACGATATGTAAAAGTAGTATGTAAAAGGGATACTTTTTCAAATCAAATTACGAAATCTAACTAATTGTCTCAATAAGACAGATTACTAGAAGACAACCAACAAAGACCAAAGCTGAAAATGAGACACAAACTTCAAAGCTGCCGTGTTCATTTACACACCTAGAATTTCTTTGAGATCTTCCCCTCACACTCTTGCGACCCCAAACCAAGCAGGCATGCACAGACATGAAATATTTTGGGAAAATACCCCTTTGTCTCCCAGCTGATAAAGAAATGTGTTCACCCATACACGCTGTTTACTGAATAATACTGATCCTTGCCAAAGCAACCTAATTTTCTCTGGTACCAGCCCTTAGCTGCTGGGTTCCGATTTCCACACTGCTCTATGCATTAATGATTGGATGTCACGAAAGTGCAAGCACAGTTGTTTGAGGGTTGATGTGGACGTATATCCAGTTGGCAGATTAAATATTTTGCTCTTCTAAAAAAAAATTGGCAAATCTTCATAATGGCATCACTCATTTGGACAGTGTAGATGGTCAGGACCTGCTGGACTATGCTGTTCTCCAGGGTGCCAAGACAATTATTTGATCTGACTATGATTCTCAAGGGAAATAAGATAGATATGATAATAGAGGAAAAACATATTCTGTATGAGATATTAAAAATCTATCCGTTTGAAGGCAGATGGTATGCCCTCAGCCCTCAGCTGATGGTCTGTATGACAGCTTCACATGGTGCTTAGGCAGATATTTCATCTTGTTTTTTTCAAAGAAAAAAACAACAATTGTTTTTTATCTATTTAGGTCTACAGTGCTGATATGAATATATATTGCCCTTTCCAAATAATTGACTCCAGTTATTAATGTTATAAGTGGGGATTATTGTTTATAATCAAACACTGTTTATTTATTTGAGACAGAAGAACATTAAATCTTCCTTGTTAGATTTTTGAGAAAATGAGACAATCCGAACACTCTACCCTTATTATGAAACATGGTGGCGGTATCAGAATGGATGTTTGGGAATACTTTTCTCCAGCAGGGACGTGGGAGCTGGTGAGAGTCGATAGAAACTTAGATGGAGTTAAATTCAGTGCCATTTCTGAGAAAACCAGTTTTAAAACTGGAAAATACTTGAGGTTCAGCTTCAGGTAGAACAGCAATCCTGAACATACAAGAGAAGAGAAGAAACTCAGTCTGATTAGACTAAATAATATGTGTTAGAACGGACTTGTGGAAGTTTGAATCAAACTGAGAATATGCGGCTAGACTTCGGATTATTGCTCACACGCCAGTCAATGCATGCACAAAACTGGTAGAGGCATATCTACAAGGCGCTGACTCACTTTTTAGCTGATTTTTTTAGTCAAATAAAATTCAAAACCTATTATTAATTTATTTTCTTTCCACTTAGCTGAGTCTGTGTTGATCTCATCGGATTTCAGGGAAACACTTTGAGGTTGTAAAGTGACAAAATAGTGTTTAATGAGCTTACAAGGCACTGGATGAGTATTTATCTGATTCAGCTTAACCACTGTAGCACATTTCACCCCGCCCTTGAGAAGTACTTATATAAGCTCAACTTGGACCCTGAGAATTCTCCTCCTCTTCCTCTCACTTTGCCCTTTGTTTCTCATCTCTCTTCTGTTTCATCTGCTCTGATGAAGTCAGCCCACATGCCGTCCACCCACCCTCTGAAAATAACCGAATTAAATAATGATAATGATTTATGCAAAGACAGATCGTGCTTAGCGGCTGAACAGCTACAGCTGGAAGCACACCATTGAACAAATAAAATTGTTAGCAAGGGTGTATTTAAGTTTCAGAGCTAGTGATGGTGATATATATATATATATATATCATTGTTGCAAATCCATGGAGATAAATCTGGTTTTCAGTCTAGAAAAGGGAAGGTTGAAAAAAATAAACATACACAGGCCAAAGAAACGCAAAAATAAATCAAGTGGAGCCCCACACAGGGGAAATCAAAGTGTTTTCTTTTCTCTGGCTATGTGCAAACTAAAATGTTTTGTCTCTCCATCGTTCCTCTCCTTATGCCCCGAAGCAAGGTATGGGAAGTGGAGAGGAGGGGTAACAAGGGTAGGTGAAACAAGGCTCTAGGCGAATCGCACTAGGGAGGACGATGAGAGAGGGGGGGAAATATTGGGATTCAGCACTGAAAATAGAATTTTATTATGACGAGGTGAGAAGAGAAAGTGGTGCAAGACAAGATGGAGAGATAACAGGAGAAAAACTGGGGGGGTCCTATTGTTTGTGTGGTTTAAGTGGATAAGTAGACATGTGCTCTGTCTGCCTATCCTCAGGCTTAATTGAAGGAGCTGAGACAAAAGAGGAAAGATAATTATTCGCTCTCTTTCTCTCAGCCTCTCATTTCTCGCAGTATATTAACACGTGGAGGGAGTGCATCAGCACAATAGCTTGCGCAACAGCAGCCACAGCATCATTATCATGCAGACATGCTCACTTAGGGACGAGTATGCAGACTGACACATCGAGAGAAGACAAAGAAAAGTTGGGAGAACACTTTAAAAAAAAAACCACACACAACTACATGCTTTGTTTCATTTTAAAGTTTACATTTGACTTTTCCTCGCAGATTTTATCACCAGCAGCCAGGTGTTAAAAAGAGACAGAACAATAAAGAAGAAGCAGAGCATCGCACAGAGCAGGCAGGAGGTGTCAGAAAGCACCGCTGTGCCGGAGCTGTCAGGCTCTTATTGCCACAACATGATGGTTTCATTAAAGAATCATCAACACCTATACGCTTTCACATCTATCACACACCTGAGCACAGACACCCGGGCAAGCAGACTTTTATGCGTACGGCGATGCAATGCAATGCAGCACGCACACACGCACCTGCACAATCCAGGGAGAAATGTGAGCAGGTTCTTCACCTCACATGCATACACTCACTCTTTGGAAAAACGCCAAAAGCTTGTCAGAACAGTCACAGAGCAGGCACACCCTAAACTTCCCCCCCCCCGACGGTCTTTTCATCTCTCCACCTGTCTCTCCCAGCTCCACCCTGACATGACACACATCTCAGCTCTGCAGACTCAAACAGCGTATGCTTGGATACTCTACTGTACAACTGTGCATCAATGAGAATAAACAAAACTTGTGTTGTTGCGTTTATTATGAGGCTGTCATGGCACGGATCGCACTATGACGCATCTAATGTAATCAAACAGTTGTTTCTATTATTACACAACACAGCAACAAAATCTTGTGTGTACTTGCTAACAAAATATTGTGTTATTATAGGATTTGGCATAAAATTACGGCAAATCTAACCTTCCAGTAACCAGCACTGTCTCACTCAGGTTAGATTTGAGCTGAGTAAAATCAGTATGTGAGGCCAGTCACATACTGAGGTCATGCGACTTGACCTCAGTAACAACAACTGCCTGTTCTTAATCAACTCACGTTGGCAAGTAAAATATATTTTATCAGAGAAATAAAATGAAGCTGAAAGGTTTTTTTTTTTTTTTTTTTTTTGGTTTTCAGGATAATTTGGTGGGTTTTTCGAATAATTTTTAAAACAAGAGGGAAACATGGAGA